GGAGAATTCATCCTTTACTTCTGGCATACTGCAATCAGTTGGTGCATAGGCGGATACAACGTATAAGCATCGACGCTTCGTTCTGTAGCTGTTGACCTGTACTGAGCCGTTAAGACGTATAGCGTACAGTTGGCTACTGACTGAAATCCAGTCTAAAAGCGAGCGTTCAGCCTTGGCCCTTAGCGCAATCCCGACACCGGCACCCCCGCGAGCTCCGGATATCGAATCGCCTGACACACGAAGGATAAAGCGTGAGGAACAGTTTGAGTCAGCAGAACACTGGGAGGTGATTGAAGTAAGGTCATTTATGCGTGTTTTAAAGACTCAACATTCATCAAAATTGGCTAAGGCAGCTTGTTGACCGATCTGGTAGAGTTTGCGATCGCTGAACAGGGCTGAGTGCAAATGGAATTATGGCTTCAAATTCCTGCAACTTCTGGTTGTTTTTACCTTGCTGGTAAAACGCTGAGCGCTATCCGATGGATGACGTAAACAGGCGTCTGAATTATTGGGAATTGAGAGGAAAACTGAACAGATTCGAAAGAAGTTTTTCCAAACGGGTTTTTAAGACCTTAATGCGCGACATGCTCCGCAGCAGTCCACACCAACGCAGGGTTTTTCTTTGGGAACGCTGACCGGAGTCTTTGACTGAAAAGTCTGACCCACAAGGCAGTGGGGCGTAAATCCAACGCAGTAGCGTGAACGAGGCACCCGTGTGGGAACTTCTAGAGACCTGTCGCGCAAAGTGTTCGGATTTCGGTTGAGTGTGTTCGCTGGTGTGCTGATCGTTGGTCCGCTTTTAAGGATTCGTCCCTAGTCTCAGAGGTTAACACCATATTCACTAAGACCTAATTTTCACTCATGGGGACTGGTTATCCAAGCCCTGGAAATTGAAATGACAGACTTCCTAAGGTCCCAATAGGTTATGCGTGGTTTGGCGTCGAGAGAGAGAGAGTTAGATGACGGTGATGGCTTTCAAAACAAATCTCAATGCTCATAGCTTGTCGGCTGCGGGGCTTAAACCACTTGCCCACTATCCAATGTGACTTGTTGTGTTCCAGAATTATCAAATACACCGCAGATCAACCATATGTTTCTTCCCCCTCTTCATCGTGCTCATGATGCCTCTACTGTTAAATATTGGCACAATATCCACGCATTAGTTGGCACGTTTATCCACTCACTCCTTCACACCCATTATTTTTCTATTCATTACAGCTCTCCCTACTGGAGTTTCGTGATCTGTGTTTCGTGTATCAACGGATTTGTTCAGTCGAACCGCAGCTGTTCGACTTTAATCACTTGGCTCGTGAAAATCTAACACTTTGGAATCACCGGAAAAATATTCAACGTGAAGTGTTGGGTACGAAACACTCACTGACTGCGGACTATGTACAACGTGCAATGTATGAAAAGGCAGAATTCAAACAGTGATTCGAGCTTTCCTCATCCCACCACCTCCGACCGCTCTGGGAAAACTGTATCATATATGATAGCGCATGGTTTTTTCTTCTTAACACGCAAAATATTGTATTTAGATAATAACAATAAAAGATTTGTGATATTTTAATTTTTTTCTTCACGAAGTGGTTTTGGCGATACGTTTATCGGGTACTCACCATTAAGCAAGATAAACGTGTACATCACACGCTGTAGAAACAGTGCTTATACATTTCATCCGAATTAGGAATCTTCAGAAGCTCTAATCACCCGAACCAACTCACACTTGAACTATGGCGAAGAATTAGTATGGATCACGGTCGATCGGGTAACGAGGTGAGTCATACCAAGAGGGATTGATAAATCAGTCAACATGCTTAGGTTTGAATACTCGTATGAATCATTGTATGCGTCTGCTCAGGCTAAACTCCCAACAGTCTAGTGAGTAAATTCCATTAAAGACAAGGATTCCTCGAATAGTACTGCTTCTTTTGAACAATATGCGATTGACTGTATACCTTAAGCAACGAAAGGTACACTGGAAAAGAAGCTTACCAATGGTGTTCGCATACAGAGAAATAATTAACAGCACTTCACCTGAAAAGTAGGATCAAATTTAAACTAATTTACTGGCTGCCACAAATCAGATTATTTCAGATTGACTACTGCATTCTACCTGCAATACCAGTAGAAACGACCAGTAACGCAATGCTTCTCCTTTCGCTGCCCAGCTTCATAGCGCAGATTTCTCATCCTCACCCACTCTTTTCAGAGCATAATCTTTTGGAGCAGTTCAGCAAACGAGACTGGTGGTTATAAGGTGCAGCTCCACCTTTCCCGCCCTCATGAGTTGTTTTCCATTCCCGATCCTATTTTCGGTTTGACTAGCTAATGAAGCAACAAAAATGAGTTTGTTTATCCCTGTTTTCTAATCTCACAATATAGCAGTGCCAGCGAAGGTGGTTGGAACTTCTTCCAGCACCAATTTTTACTAATTCTTGTTTCTTTGCGTATCCTGCTTAATGACACTGTAACCTTTCCAGCAAGTGCGGATGCCATGCTATTGATAGCGGATACCACGACCGTGCCCGTTCTCAGTCGTCCGGGGTGTGAATACAAAACCCCCGGAACAAGCCAAGTAGCACAATAACAGGGAGCAATCTTCAAGAGGATCCCAAACAATCCAGATAGGTCACGCAATTCGTAGCTGACTCCGTTGCTAGTTCAGATGAAGCTCAACAGAACAAGCTTTCAAAGAATCGCCTACTTAGCTCGATTGAGCCATTCTGACTGAAGCGATAAAAAGACCTGGTTGGTCATTTGCAAGCAACCAACTGAGACGGGTATGAATTTGAATTCGAAGGGAGGCACGCACATTGTGCACCGTATGACAAGTTCTGACAAAGATTTCTGGGTTTGTGTTCATCTTCTAGCATGCCCACAAGTATTCCCAGTTGACGCAATATGCTGCGACGTTTACATCGACAGACAAAATAGACATGCTCATCAGAATGAAGTAAAACACCTCACATTCATGGTGCAGATGTTCATATACTTTCTGGATATTACTATTCTGGGAACGTTATCGTAGAACTAGTTGCTTATCCATCAGAGTGGTGATAAAGGGAAGTCCATCTGACCTGTTGCCCCTGAATTGAAAATCAAAAGCCCTTGAAACTAAACTGGCTGTTTTGTAGTCACTTCTTATTGTTGTGAACAATTCAGAGGATGAAATCCATTTTTGTGAATATCACAACTATCCACGTTTTGTGGACGGCTTGTCTCCTTGAATATCTCAAATAGCAGCTTTCCGTTGGCAGCGGTTGGCAGCAAGGTCATTGCGGATGGTGATCCATAGCTGGACCCTGTAGACCGAGTATGGCCCCAGGCGTGTTTGTCTATCACAATGTTGTACGCCGGAGTCGGAAGCTTCAGCCCAGGTTAGGCGAAGGACTGAATCATTGTTTCGGCATTTGGTCCCCCTGGAGCGTGACCAAACCGCTGTAAGCGAAGTCATCAAAGTAACTTTCCAATCTTGAAATGTGGCTTCAGTGTTCTGAAAGCGCGTGCTTCAAATTGCTTTTGGCATTCGGCGCAGGTGTTTATGATCAATTATATCCAGTCTTGTATCTTGGCTTCCTACAAGACAGACTTTGTGAGCATTGATCCCGAAGGATTTCTGTTCGACTGTAGAAACTGACAATCAATGCCGGATAATAGAATACTCAAGATACCATATATTTCCTTCATCCACGTCGTGCTCTAATGAAGGGGGTTTGAATCAAGAACGGTAAACGCTAGTCATAACGACCTCAACTATCTGAGCACCGTCACAACCAATGGATGAAACAGGAACATCTGTTCTTACCGTTTGGATCAAATAATAAGGAGTGAGTCATTGGTTTTGATTCTCTAATTTTTCATAAACAGGACACTAAGGTGAGGATTGTTTCACTCGGTTAAGCTGAGCAACTACAAATAAAAACTGGATAATAGCTTGTTTTATGAAAGGAAACTATAATCTGTTCGACAATGAGTGCGTATTCACAGCGAATGGGGCAGCGTAGAAGCAAATGTGACAAAAATCAGTAGACACGTAGTTTAGAGCAGACCGCGGTCGTGACGCGTTGTATAGAACCAGTTACGTACTACTGGTATAGTACAACAGGTAACGAGACGGGTAGACTAAATTCAATGCGGAATGGATTAAACAAGTTGGATGCTTTGTCCGATGTACCAGAAGTATCAATAGTTGAGCGTAGGTGAATTCATTGAAACTGTTTCCAGTGCATGGGTATTACGCATTGTATGATAATAGATTGATTGTTGCGGGGAGTACACAAATGGGGCATACTGATTCGGTTTTGGTCGGGGCACGCTATTTATCCAATCTGCTCCCGGTCCGGTAAAACTCTCGCACGGAATTAATGTCTTATCTCCTTGGTCCATAGAATTGTACCGCATTGTCGTCCAGTGATCGGCTGGAACACCGGTTCCGTATGCTTCGGTCGTATTTGGCCAGTCAATCAGAGTACGTCCGGAACTGACTGCCTGTAGATTAGAATCTGGAATATGAGAAATCGAATTTGTATTTGTATAACTTTTGCAACGCTTACATTTCAGTTAATGCATCTTTTCGAGAATAAAATAGGGATCCGTCACATGCTGTATTTCAAAGTCAATCAAACAGGGCAGTTTTGTTGTACAGATTTATTTTTTTCTAGTATTTGGGATCAACACTTAATTACAGGAGCTGAAAAATCAAAGAGACAATTCTTTTTATTTCAATGAAGCATGCCTTTATTCGTTCAACTAATGTGAAACGACGTGCTCTGGTTTCATGCATCCAAGAAGCTTCATTCATATGTCAGCTCGTTCTTGACAGTAGGTGCGTTCTTCGCGCTATTCCCTTAGTTCATTGTGCCCTTCCCACTCAGATGTTCTTTGTATCCCCTAGTGATAAACTAATTGCTGCCACTGTCGACCACATCGAATGATCTTATTTCTGAGAAAGTGGAAGAAGAAGCAGGCTTGCTGTTTAGAGTATTATATTGTGCGAGGGCATCACTCCTTTTGATAATTCGTCCAGCTCGGTAGGTGTGGATTGCGTCAGAAGATAACGTGTAGATAACCAGGCTTACTGATCTCACAAACTGTTGGAAATGTGCTACAAACCATTTTCCAAACAAAACACCGCCTGCATACGGAATGCGTGATCGAGGTCAAACAGATGGTTACTTTTTTATCATCACTTTCACAGGCCCAGTACCATTCTGTACTGACGAACCTTCGGGGTGTTACATCGAAACGGTAGTTAGCGGTTGGTTGAAGTTAAACTTGATTAAAAAATCGAGTATGATCATTACTGTTGTTTATTTGTCCGTATGCGCATAAAAAATGACATTGAAAAACGGGATACTGCTTAATTAGTAAACTATTGTTACCTCATACAATTGCTACAAGACCCGGTGTGGGTTAGACAAGTTATTCAAAAAACTAACACTCAAAGCGTCAAACCTACCATAATTTGTGACATATTCCATTTTATCGACATTGGTCCTACTTGCCATGTTGTTCACCTCGTGAAAACGTATCATTGTTGTTCCATCACGTATAGTTTTCGATCGTGGTCGATGCCACAAGAAGTAGGCACTGAGAACGAACGCGATGGAGGCCAGTAAACCTACAATCGATATGGCCGCTATCACGTACAAATAAAATGTGGTTCTCGAATTCCGTCCTCGCAGGCGCATTGAAGTCCCCGAGGTCGAACCCGTTCGATTCAGTCCATCAGATTCGTCAAGTGCATCAGTAATTGTTAGGCACATGTGTATCGTGGATTCCATAGGAACGGATGCGCCATCTCGGGCCGAAATTGCGATACGACAGGATAAATCAATCAACTGGTCCGGTAGTGCGGATTTGAGGCTGAAAGATCCAGACAAGGGATCGATTTGGAAATAATCTGTCAAATCTAAAGTGGTGTATTTGGCACGAAGAGTTGAATGAGACGAGAGTGACGGCTGATCGCATGGCTGCAATCCCGCCTTAGTATTACCAGTCGACTCGTACAGAGTTATGGCACCCAGTTTGTACTTAACAGTCCCGTTATTGCCTGCATCTCGATCCACAGCATGCACCTGGGTAACATGAAGGGAGAAAACCACAGGTAACTCATGTAGAAGATGTGAGTTAAAACAACGGGGTTGCATATTAGTTTTCAATTATTCCGTACACAATACTCACTCTCTAATTAACTCTGCTTAGTGAACGGAAATCCCATCAACATTTTAGGTTGTAGATATCTGAATAAATTATTCTCACATCAAGTCACACATCATTCATAGACTCACTAACTGATAATTGAACATGAAACGTTCGTTCTGTTAAGGACCATCTGGAGATATTTGTGGAATAAGAAATAGCGGGATTAGTTAATTTATAAACGTCAAATGTTTCCACAAGAAATTTTCGTCAGTGAATACAAATACCGGTCTCATGATGAAATCAATCCAAGTAGTCTGCGAGTGGTTTTTATTTGCCCCATACAACTTTATTCTTTAATAGTGATATATTGTGATAATTACATACCACTGGAAACTAGCGTGTTCTCCTGTCTGTTGTTTTCTTGGAAATGTGCTCTGTACAACCAAACAAAGGCTTCCTGGGGAAAGGCAAAGAGAAATATGGACGGCGGTGGCTTGATTCGAACTCAGGACATCGAGGTCGTTGTTTTGACGACCGCGACCTTTTGATCACCATCACCATTTATTCGTGTTTCGGCACCCTGGCAAATTGATTGATCGTCCGCAGTTAGTTTTGATCGATCAATGAACATTCACACGATACAGCTTCTCAGGAGTAGACATAATTAAATTTATTGGCATTTCCATTATTTCTGCTTTTTTGACTAGTTTATAAGTGCCCCCTACAAATCGCAGTTGCAGTGTTAACAAGTTACTGTAAAATCTGCTTTAATGAGTTCGACCAAATAGCTCACATGTTTGTCGAATGAGCTATCCATCGAGTCCTGAATCGAATCCCAGTCTATTATTCGTGTACGAAATTCTGATGATTTGGTAACAGGGATGAACCGACTGAACAGGGCCTCTGGGGATGTCAGAACGGTTCTCATCAACAACCATATATAATCAAACAGAAACCTATAGGATGAAAGGCTAAGCATGAATTGTTTAACGAACACAGTTAATTGGTAGTCACATGATATACAATGAGAGAGAAGTGGATGATAATTATAGTGCAATATTCATGCATAAGCACCTTGAATTTCGGTTTCCTGGATTAGCATCAGCCTTCTGACACAGTAAACCGTGGACCAAATAGAATCAGTTGCGCTGAGTTCATGGAGAACAAAACTGTAATTTAGTGAGGCGTTTCAGTCACCTCGTAAATGACTTATTTTTATTGTGATGCCTAACGAAACTGATTAGCTCTTATCCTATATACGCGTAATGCTTGAGGATAGAATTTCCCTAGTTACTTTTTATGCCTGTGAAAAGCACAGTGTAGACGCAACAGCACCAAAAACGGTCACTGGACTGCTGTGGTGATCAGGGTATCGCACTGTGTGGGGGAATGTGAATTTACACACATGCACACATACATACAAACATACATACATACATACATACATACATACATACATACATACATACATACATACATACATACTGACATACATACATACATACATACATACATACATACATACATACATACATACATACATACATGCGTACGTAAGTACGTTTTGTACTAAACGGTACCGCCAAGGTTCATGATAGATCGCTTGCTTTGCCGAATTATTTTTATAATTAAAATTGGTCTCTTTCTTGGTCCGAATCAAGAAGTACTTGAATTGAAAAAGGCAATTTTTCAATCATATCGCATAGATAAATAGAGATCAGTGATGTGCATGACAATTTGTGTGAACTGACTCATTCATCTAAACAAGAAACCAATGAGAACAAATGTGGTCACTGGATTTTGCAAGCAGTTCACCGGGTTTGGTTTAGATTCAGAACAACTGGTTCTATCTGATATATTTCGAAATAATGAAGCACAAAAAGAAAGTGGTCCAAATAAAAGGAGCCAAACGATCTTCGAAAAATGTGGGTTCCATTGGATGAATTGCCATGGATTATAAAGTTTTAATGGGCAAATGAGAGGGAGAGAGAGCGGATGAATGGGACGAGAATATAATAATACCTGTCCCGATTTTAAGCCTATACTGCAAATTCATCGTGATGACCTCAGCCATATAGTAAAAGTCAAAGGGTTACCATGATACCCGCGCAATTATTGTGAAGTTTCTCTAACTCATCGAGCATGAAAAATGAGCTTCGGTGTAATGAACAACTGTGTGTATTAATTCCTCGGTGAGTTTTTTAACTTCTTTTATCAGTTTTCAGCTTCAGAAAAACCTATTCGTTTTCGTGTATAACAAGCACAGAACAGGATCGCATTTGATGGTAATCTGTGCTCAATTATGAAGCATTGCACAGTTCAGATTTCCTGTTCCCGGAAGACGCACATCAGGTCAGGCTTATGCTAATGATCACGAAGTACACGCTGGCATCGAAAATCTAATCGATCACCGGTTGTATGTTGTTTGGACCGGATGAACCCGTTTTGACAAACGGTTGTAAATAATTTTTCACAATTACCGCGAGTTTACGTGAATTAAACTAAAGCATTTGATGTTGGAAAAAAACATCTAACATCAAAAGGAAGTTT